TTTTTTTATCTTTCCCAATTTAAGCAAAAGATGAAAACTAATCTCACAATATATTAAATCAAACTTTAGGAAAATTTCTTACGGTCAATTTATTATGGAAATAAATTCTTTATCTTACATTGTATACATCATATAATATTATGTTTACATTAAAGATGTATTAATAGTATTTTGTAGGATAAATTATTTGTAAACAATTCTAAGTAAATATTGAAAATGAAATAAATGTTTAAATTGTTCATTGTTATTTATTACTTCATTATCAATAATTCAATGATAATACTATTAAAATAATAATTTTAAAATTTTCATTTTTACTGCGATTAACAAATACATGCATACACGTATTTTATGTTTAACACACATACACGTATTTTACGCTTATAACATATACGTATTTTACGCTTATACACATATACGTATTCTACGTTTATGTACTTTTTACATGTTTTAAAATTTGATAAGTTCATTGTTATTAAAATTAGTCAATGTTTTTACATGCGGAAATATTAATAGCGGTATAGCTTTTGATGTTAAAATATGAAGTATCGGCTTAAAAGGATATCCAGGAAATGAGAAAAGAAAAAAAGAAAGATATAAGTAATGTATTTATGTGATACCTTCCTTACTTAAGCTATAATAGATAATGAATAATGCCGCCTATCATCATTGTCACCAATGGTGTGAATTATGTAATAAATGTCATCTATTCATTTCAACTTATCTTTCATGTTATTAGCTCATAGCGAAAATGATGAGATGAAGTAATGGCTCTCTTACTGATTGAAGAGGTCAAGCGCAAAAAGAAATAATGGATAATGGATATGATAGAAATGAATGTAAAATTAAATGAATTTTAGAGGGAAAAAATGAAATAAATATTTATTAAATTATTATAATTAAAATTAAAAATTTTAATTTATTTTTAAAATTTAAATTTTAATGTAAATTTCAATAAAATTTAATTATTTCTTTAAATTCCTAATTTCTTTTTCTTTCTTTACTAAATTTTTGTCCGAATTTTTTTTTTAAATTTCTGTATAATAATAATCCCAATCGTTTCTTACATATTTTTATATAGATTAAAGATGAAAAATAAATTTTACTTTCAATTTTTCTGATACAATGATGACAGGTTGACAGATCATCGAAGAGAGTTTACCGTCATCTGATACTAACTAATATATCCTATCAGCCTGTCCATCCAAATGATATATCTTTTTTCTACATGGGTACTGTAGACAGGTTCTTGAAATAACTATTAGTAATAATAAACTTGATAAAAGGACTAATAGTGCTTTCTAGGAAATTCATTATTTTCCTTTAACAATTATCATTTTTATCATTATCATTATCCGTTAATCTAAACAAATATCACAATATGATAAATTCTATATTATCATTTTATCATTATCATTAATGATTACAATCTTTTCTGTTGAATATAGGTTTCCTTTTTTTTTTATATATCCTTCAAGTAATTTAGTTTTTACCAGTTTTCTTTTTTTTTTCCTTCGGACAATGTCGTTTGGTCATTTCATTGTCATCTTTAAGTGTAATTAGGATTTTTGAGATTATGCAAATTACAGTTAATATCTAGATTTAAGCCAAAAAAAACTCTCAAATCAAAAAATCTTTTTGAGAGTGAATGGCGATGAAATTATTCATTATATTATTTAGTCGTAGTATGGGAGGAGATTTACCACCTGTTTCCTATTTCATCCTCCTCTTCTTTTCGTTCCTTGCAGTTAATGCTGTTGGTTTTTGCTGAGAATTAGAGTGCACAAGTACCACTCGACCTTTAACCCTTAAGTACCCGTACTTTAACCCTTCCACTCACATTGGATCGACCAGTAATACAGCATATCAATAAATTATATATCCTATATTACGTCAGAAAGATATTTTTCTCTTTCATTCAGGGAAGAAATTAATATTCTAATGAAAAATGAAAAATGAAAACTTAGTATAGAAAGGGGGAAGAAAAAGAGAGGAAATCAAAAAAATGAGAATAGGAAAAGGCGAAAGAATTAATTTAAATTATAATTCTCAAAATCGATTATTCCATTAAAATATCTTTTCGAATTAATAATTCGATTCAAACAATTACTTTGATTTGAACTAAAAACTATCTATCCAAACGCATTTTGCATAATCTTTTGCTATTATCCAACGAAATTAAAATAATATTTAATATATATTATGTAGAAAATGTAACTTTTCAAGTTTTCAAATTCGATTTTAATTTTTCTCAATTTTAAAAATAATTTTTTTTGTTTTTCAATTTTTATTTTTTTTTTCAGTTGCTGATGGTCTTATCAAAATTTTGATTACTTTATGCAATGGTATGCATATTTATCTTGATCATGTCGTGCAACAAATTCAATACGATGATGGAAGTTCGTTTTTTTTTTTTTTTTCCTTCTAATTATCATTTGATAAGATTTTGCTTACTATTAAGTGTTAATCATAATTTTATCTTTGAAAATTCTCAAAGTCATAAAATGTGAAGTAAGAATAACCTTAGAAAGTTTACCTTTTATTTAGGTAAATTTTAATTTCACAACAAATTTAGGCTAATTTTGTTGAAATAATATTGTTTGTATTCTCTAACCTTTACCTTCCTTTTTTTTTATTAATTGAATAATTTTTTTTGTTTTAATTTTTTAAAATTAAAAGTTATAAATGTTCTTATTTCTCTTAATTACTATTTACCTGTTTAATTCATTAAGATATTACATTTTAGAAGTAAGCGTAAAATGTTTGGTTAATGGTACACGTGAGGTAATTTTTAATGGTGATTGTGTATTGTGTACTTTACCGCTTGGCGTTCTTAAACGTTCAATTCGAAAACGAAATAATGCTCCATTATTTCATCCCGAATTACCATATTGGAAAATTGATGCTATCAGTTCACTTGGTTTTGGAAATGTTAACAAGGTAAGGAGTGGAAATTTTTATAAAATTATTTAATTATTCAATTCCAGTAATGATAACTTTCTTTCAATTAATGTTATTGTTGTTATTTGTTATGAAAGCAAAATAGCTAAAATTTAATTAAGTTCATTATTCAAATTTGTAATTTTATAATTTCAGATTATGCTATTTTTTGAGAAACCATTCTGGGAGAATACACGAGTTTTTGGGCAAATATCAGATACAATGTTAGTCGCATATATTATTTATTTAAATTATCGATTAATATATCCAAGAGAGATATTGTCAACTGAATTTTATTATTGGTCATCTTAATATATGTGTTAATCATTGTTAACATTTTTTTTTTTTTTTTTACAGGTGTGCAACTAGCCGCGGTGAAATGTTCATGTTTCAAGCTCATCGTGATAAACCAATCCTAATTGCACTGATATCAGGTGATTCAGCTAATGCTTTAGAAGAAGCACCAAGTGATATTATTGTTTATAAAATTATGAATTTTCTTTCTGCTGTTTTTGGTCCAACATGTCCAAAAGAGGTATGATATTTTGTGACTTTTTTTTTTTTATACAGAAAATCAATCGATAATACTATTCCTCAACATTATATATCCATTTTAGATAAATCATTTTATGATAATAAATTTCAAGTATAATTCATAACAATATGATAACTTGAATTCATTTTATAAAATAATATTTGAGGAAAAAAAGATGCATTAAAAATGGAAGTATTAATGCATAAATTAAAGATTAAATATTATTGAATAGTAGTAATTAATCTAAAATGAAATTAATTAACATAAATATTATGGTAATTTATATCAAAAAAAAAAGGATTTTTTTATTTTAAAAATGCCATTTGAGAAATTTCAAAAAGCTTTCAATTTTTCTA